ACCCTCAGCGTACTCTGCTTGCAACCTGTCCACAGGTACCAACACCTTGCATTGCTTGCAACAATCCATGCTTGTTCCATAGATTCTGGCTCAAGAGTACACTCACAAATTGGAGCAGTTGACGCAGCAGCAGATTTTCCGAAATCTTTACGGCAACTTGGAGAAACATGCATGATCAGAGCTTCTGTACGTATCTTGCGAACGAGGTATGCCCTTGATCTTTGATCCTATCGGACCAAAGCAAGACGACACAGGGAACGTCGGCAGAGCTTTGCTCTTGCTGTGGGGCTGGCAGTGTCTCCTGCTCAGTGAAGATAAGTAGATAAAAGTTCAGAAGTTCTGCCAACTCTCATGTGCTTCGAGGTCGTAAGCGGTCTGGCGATTTTGAAGTGCTGTCAGGCCTAGGGATGGTTGCGGTACTGTATTATCGTTACTTTGCCTGCTCTCGATAAGACACCCGCGCCGTCTCACTGCAATCTGTTAGGCCCTGTCACAGATCTTGTCAGCGATGAACCTCACTCAGGCCTAGCCATCTCCGAATCATTCTATTTGACCCTTGTTCGTTTGACCCTCATTCGATTTCTTTGCAGGAGCTCTTCACTCCTTCTGGGCGCGAGGAGACCTGGAAAACTTGAATGGCTCCTGGTGTCAGTGGGTCGCACATAGGATGAGCTTGGCAATGACGAATAACGCAATGATAAACAATGTATACATTCCGATGCTAAGGTGACACTTTCATTGTGCCAATTCTTCACCGCTTGTGTAGTGCTGCAGACCAAAGCTCTCGCATTCATTGCCACTTGAACTACAGTATGAAAATTGCATTTACAATACATTTTTCAACAAGAGTCATGTGTGCGAGTTATCTGCAAGGCGACTACTTCATGAAGGAGATTGTCAACCGGTTGACTCACGTATGTGGACGAACTTGCGCAGATTGGTGGCGCTGTTTCTCGCCATATTAAGCCTTACCTGTTTTATTCAAGAAGTAGAAACTTGAGTATCCGGGATCAAGCACTTGAGTGATCACTGCAAGGGATGAATTGCGGCTTTGGAGTGAAGCATGTTCGACAAAGCCAATGCAAAGTGGTGAAGCAAAAAGAATGTGATAAGCTGTGGTTGGACTCCTCCTGGTGTGGCTCGCTTGCATCCAATGGTGCATGTCATTGGGTTCACACTGTTAGTACAAAACATTGAAGCAACTGAGCAATTCGACCTAGGCGATGCATTGGTTTGGAAGATTACTGGCCGGATTCACAGCACGGCTGATCTTCCTTCAGCGGAATACACTCCGAACTGGAAGCAGCTCCCACGCAAGCGATGGTATCGTCGGTTCAGGCTGGGTAAGTATTGGTATGAAACGAAGCACGAAAGCGCGAACAGACAATGATTCCAGGGGACCTGCTCCGAGACTACTAGCAGCCTCGTGGCCAGAGGCAGGACGGATTCTTTTTCCTGATTGCGGATTAGTCTTATCATTACGCGTGTTAGGAGCAAACCCAAGTGAAGAACTACAGTACCCCGCATGTGGCCTCAGACCTGTCTTTATGACTGGCGCTGTGTGTCTGTCTGGTGATGATGGAGAGCTAAGGAAGGAGGTGGCAGAAGACCACAAGACAGGCCGGAATTTAGAATATAGTGCAGCAACGTCCTTTTTGAAGCGGCGCCCAGACGTTGCAAAGGCTTAGATGAATGGTGTGACATGGTGGGAGATGTGATTCCGCTCAATGATCTGTGGTGTGTCCTGCTTGGCATAGAGATATATTGGACAACTACCCATGTATCATCTGATGAGAAGCTCTATTTAGCTAAGGCATTGCGGCATTACAGAAAAACACACGGATCACTGTGCTTAGGTGGGTACTTTGTTGATGCCATCGTGGCCCGACTGATGGAAGAGAAGGACGCTGGATTGGGTTTTTGCCACTTGATTGCAGCAGACATCTCTTTACTAGAACACACTCATAGAAGACTGAGGCTTATCCAAGAGGAAAAGACGTCGTTGGCGTGAAGAAAGCATTAGACGGTGGCGGGCCAGCAAAATGCGCTGGATGGAAGCCAGAAGGGATGAAGAAGAAAGCGAGATTCTGGAGCAATACGTTGCGATTGCCAGAGAAGAAGCCAGAAGTATGATTGAGAATTCAAGTCTCTCTCTTGCATTGGTGTGAGGTCAACATAGAGTCCGCATGGTTTCTATTTCTAAACCTACATTTGTATACCTTCATTGCTGTGAGGCTCTTCGGGCTTTTTGCGCCCCACTTCAGAAATCCGTCCGAAGACAACCATCTCTCGCTTTGAGTGTCTCGGCTGATGAGATCTGTGAATAGTCACTGAACTATGCTAGCGTTCTTCTCCCTTGCCTGAGGACAAAACAATTCCATCACGTATGCCTTGTTGATGTTCTCCGATGCCATGGATGGAAAGTTCCGTACGAAGAACATGGACCATTTTTCGCAGTAACAGACGGGAACCGCTTCCTGAACAAGTGGTCGCCCTTAACTCAGTTCAACATGATGTCACATCTTTTTCTGCTGCGTGTCAACACAGAAACTCAATGCTATGACCCATGCATCTTTCAGGAAGAAAGTGGTGTACATCGACCCCCAGTCACTCACCCACGAGGCCAAGAATGCTAAGTGCATTCTCTTCCAAGACCAGCACTTTGTGGCTTTGCGATTCTTGGATGGGCAATGGGAAATCAATTTTGAACGGTATACACATACCTGGGAAAAAGCTGATCTGTACCGTGGCCTTCAGCGTGGACATCCCTACTGTCAAGATGAGAAGGGCGTGTGGATTATCGATGTGGAAGAGGTCGATGCTGCCTATTACATTGCTTCCCAAGAAGATGTGTGCCACAACAGCAGAGGAAAAGATGAGTGCGGTGGCTCTATCTCTAACCACTCTGGCATGAAACGAAAGTGCGTCGAAGAGGATGAAGAAGAAGCGCAATTCCGCTCAACAAACATTCGGCACAATCGTCAAGTTGCTCTGAGATTGACATCTCTGCGAAAGCAGGGGGTGTTTGTGTGCCAAACTGTTGGAATGCAGCAACAGTCTCTGAAGTTCAAGACATTGGTCGGTACTGATCTAGAACAACTTCTTCCCCAAATTCTGATCCGAGGATCTGTCAACAGAAGCTTAATGCCTTTGAAGCCAAACGTCTGGCCTTCCAGTGTGCCGGTTCCACTGGATCATCTGAGCCAGTTACACAGGCACCCCAGAGATGAACGATTGACTTTCGACGCAGCAACTCACACCTATTTCTGGGACGGATCGAAGGTTCACATTTCGTGCACTGGGCTCATACATCGCTTCAGTCATGACTTTTGCGCAGACAAAGCAATTGAAGCAATGAGACGGTCCAACAACTGGCCACGGCCACAGTACATGAGGGGCTCCGTATCCCAGAAACTTATACTTGACCTCAGCAAACTTCCTTACGCGCATTTGTTTCTAGATCTCCTGGATGGACCTGGCAGATGCCAAACAAAGTTGTGCCAAGCGATTCAGAAGCTGATGGTTCACCACCCTGAAGACAGTAACTTGCTTTTGTCTCTTGCAATGAGCGACGAAGAAATTAAAGAGCAGTGGAAACAAACTGCTGAGATTGCATCATCACAGGGCACCTGGATGCACGCCAGCTTTGAGTGCTTGCTCAATGGTGGCTACATAGAGACAGAAGATCGTGAAGACATGGAGCATGTTCTGTTTTGGAAATTTGCTCGGACTTTGCTTTCTGCTGGCGCAAAGATCTTTCGGACAGAGTGGACGATCTACGCAAGCGAGGAGGACCTTGCTGGCTCCATCGACTTGGCAGCTAGAATGCCGGTCCCTTGGGTGATGCTTTCAGCCAACCCTTTGCAGTTCAGACACAGTTTCATTTTACTTTTCTCACTTCTTTACATCTTTTGTGTTATTCCTTGCGCACGTCCAAGTGTAGACAGTGTTGACATTGTTTTTGTTTTGCCTGTCTGTGTGAGGACAACGCTCTGTATCTGTTCGACTGGAAGCGAACAAAGAATCTTCAGTTCAAATCCAACTCCTTTGGCAAGTCAATGCTGCCTCCATTGGCTCATGTGCCCGATGCAACACTATGGCACTACAGACTACAGCTCAATCTATATGCCTCCATCATCGAGAAATACTACAATGAGACTGTGGGTGCAATGTTTGTGGTTGGCTGTCACCCCGATAATGGCATGCACCCGTTCGTGGACGATGTTCCCCGCATGCGCGCTGAAGCTGATCTTCTTTTGAGAGCATCGCAAACAGATCGCCTTGGGGGAGCAGTCCTGCACAGTGGACATTACAACAGAAGCATGTCTTTCCAAGGCCTTCACCGATTGATCCAGAAATGCAAGCCAGGATTTGGGCTCAGCTGAAGCAATTCCGTACGGAAGTAGAGCCTTCGTTTCCTACACTTGCAAAGTTTCCACATCTCTTTTGGATTCTACCAGTTCCTTTTGATCTGCAGCAGCCACGTGCGAATTGGATTGTTCAGATGAGGGCATATGGTTGTTTCCTGTCCATGATTCACAACGGTCAGTCACAACAGTTAGAGCTTGCCCTGATGGCGTACTACAGTCCAGAAATTGAGAGGAACTTTGGACTGCTAGAACTGGTTTCAACTCAAAAGGCTTCTGTCAGCAGACGTGACAGGCTGAAGAGGTTGATGGCTGCTTGGATGTGCTTGCACGTGCTGTCTGTACCAGTCCCAGGAAGTCATATCTTGCCACTCGCATCATCTACACCTCAATCCCGCTATTTGACAATGCTGGCAGTTGTTCCAAATGCGCCGCTCACCTCGAAAAAGAATAAGAATAAAAAACCCTGTATGCAAGGAGGGTATGATGCACTTGGCGTGGCCAGTTCGATTCAGATGGATGCTCGTCTTCAAGAACTCTGTGTCTCATTTTCTTTCAGTTGTTAAAAAAGGTTAAGCTATTCTTGAAAGGTGTTTCTTTGCAGTTATTGTTTTGTCTGCTTCATACCTTAAGGAGAGAGCGGCATGCCTGCAATTGGTTGCGCTGATGACTCAGTAGACGTGGCCAGCCAGCGAAGCGGTCCACGCACTGCTGCGAAATCGAAAGCAGGTCCAAGCCAGAGAGTAGAAGACAGTGCCATGAGAATTGTCAAGGAAGAGGACAAAGAAGCTGACGACATTCCTCTAGAAGATGCTACTTTTGAGAGGCTGAAGCAAAGACGTCACATGAGGGGAGCCAACACGTCAGATGTAGATTTCGCGCACCTGTTCAACTCCTTGGCAAAAATGAACGACTGCTTCCAGCAAGAACCTGCAGAGGAGATCGATACGTCAGACACCATCTTGCACAAGGTTCGGCTATGGCAAGATTGTGTGCGCAAGACATTTGCGGATGGCTCTGACTACTTCATTCGCCTCGGGGTGGGTGTCTTGGCATTTGGGCGGGCCAGACAAGCAGACATCTTTCTGCGAGAGCACGCGTTGCTGTACTGTGTCGCCGAAGGCCACTCCACCCTGCGTTTCCACACAGGCGACTGCTACATGAAAACCCCAAGTGGTGCATTCCAACAGCACAGGGGCATACCCCTGACCATGATCGCGTGCAAACTTTTCTTCTGCATGTGGAGGGCATTTTTCGGAAAATGCCCGTGCGAACACACCGGACTACTGCAGGACTGCTAGGCGCAATGAAAAACATTCTCCTTGACTATGACAACCAGGAGAATCAATTCTTGGCTGCGTGCGTGAATGCTTGCTTAACTTTTGAAGGGCAGCAGCGCAAAGAAAAGAATAGAGAAGAACATGCAGATGAAGAGCAAGAGGGTCCGGGGCAACAAGGTCCACAAGGACCATGGAATGCAGCCACTGCGAAAACCATCATGGCAGTGAAAAAGCAGTTGTCATATGAGCTGTGCCAAGATAAGCTCCTACATTTTATGTCGGAATGGTGTGACACACCCAAGGAAGTGGAAGCTTCGTGTTGCTACGAAGACTGCGCGGTGAAATACGATGATGAGCTCCTACCTGCTCGACAAATTCAGCGTGAGCAGCTTGTGAACTGCTATTTGAGAATCCCTCATTCCATCAAGCAAACAGTGCCTGCCGACATTGTGGAAAGGCTTCGCAAGTTCTATTCACAGACGTTCTGGGGGAATATTGAAGCCTTCAAATGTGGACAGGCAGCGCAAGCCTTGGCCAAACGAGGTCTCAACGTTGTTCGGCTCTTTATTGGACTATCTAGTGGTGGGGTTGGACAATCTCTCTACTCCACTCATCTTCAAGCAATGTATGCTCACAATTTTGCTTTCTTTGATCCTGGCGTTTGGTTCCACGAAGATGAAATGAGGAAGCAAGTGGAACAATTGAATGGACGTTGCATTCTGACTGGGCAGGAGAGTCCGTCTGGCACTGGTCGCGCCTGGGCTAGAGTGTGGGTTTGTAATCTACTTGTTCTAGTTCTTCTGTTTGATGTGGCCATCGTTTGCTTAACTGAAACCGTTACTTTGTACACCCAAGGCAAGCTGAGAGAAGACCTATTCAAGAAATTCGTCAGTGGCGACGGCATCGCAGGACGAAAGCCCTATGGGTTCAGCACCAAGATGATTCACTGTGTGGGCTGGAAACGCCTAGAGGCAAATCGTATGTTCACTTTTGAAGATGTGGGCAAGAGAAATTTTAACGCAATTTTGAGAAGAGCGCTGGTTTGGAGAGCCAGAGCAAGGTTTGAAGATCCACAGGTTATCGCGTCCGCATATGCAGATATCCACAAGGACGGTGTCTTTCCGAAAGACCCAGATTTAGCGAGCTTCCTCACATCTTCGGCTGCTGTCGCTGCAGCGCTACAAATTCAGCATGCATTCGAGGCAGAGTACAGCAAGCAAGCTTGCATTGACATGATCGAGAACTATGTCACTTGGGGTGGAGATGGTGGCTTGACAGAGCAAACAATGAGGGAAGCGTGCAGGCTCCCGCCCAGAGATATCCAAGCTGCCAACACAAAGTTTTCTGCAGTCATCCACCTAGATGAAGTAGAGGATGATGAAGAAAAGGAACAAAAAGCTCAATGGTGCGCTGCACGAGAAGCTGTCATGGATGTGGCTTTCAGCAAAAAGAAAATTTTCTTCCCGGAAGCCTTGTTGACAAGCTTGAAAGCCAAGGGTGGCCCAAATGTTTCGAGAGAAGGCTTGCTTGACGGACTGCTGAACATGAAGTACTTGCAGAGGTTGCCTGGATCAAAGAAGGCGGACACCCGCTACATTCCTGTCTTGACTGCTGAGGTCTCTTTGTGTGACATTTTGCATCACCAGGATCGGATTTGTGAGCTTGAGTTGTCTGAAATGTATAACATCGACAAGTTCAGCAACTACCTCACCCAGCATCCTCACAGAGCAGCTAATTCAAAGATTTTGGCAGATGTCCTTCAAGCTTCTTCAGAAAGCAGAAGACCTAGAGCAGGCAGACCTTCACCAGAGGAGGTCAAGCAGAAGGAAGACATGCAAGCTCGCAGTCGCAAATTGCGGAGTGGTGACACTCACGGAGAGGAGTTGCTAGAGGCACTAACAGAGCCAATCCAGAAGAAACGCAGGTTCTCGCAGAAAAAGCCTGAAGTCAAGACAGAAAATTCTGAAGATCACATTCTCATCCGCAAGGTGAACTACCAATACCCTGGCCCTTGCACTATCCGAACTCGCAAACAAGTGGTAGGTATCGGAGCTCAAAAACTCAGCAGAAGAGCGCAGGTGATGCTTTTGGATCAGACACATGACCTGGACATCGAGAATTGTCTTTTCACTTTGCTTCCCCAACTGCTGGAGAAATTGAAATTGGATCCACCAATGCCACCGGATGCACTAGCAGCCTTTGCCCAGTGCAGGTCACAAAGGACTAAAGTTTGCGCAGATGTCTTGCAATTGCCCCTGCACGTGGGCAAAGAGCTGCTGGTATCTATTCTGTACGGCGGACATGTATCGGGCAAATTGGTGCGACATGACTTTGTGCAATCTTTGCAGCGAGCATCTATGTATTGCAAATGGGCTGCTGCTTCCAGCTTACCTGAGGAGTTTGCATCCTTCGTGGAGGACACTACAAAGAAAAACCCTGACAGCTCTGTTCTAGCTTATCTCTACATGGCCGCTGAAGACTACGTTCTGTCTCACTGGTGCGATCATCTTTTGACCTTTTCACCCACCCACTTGTCACTACACTTTGATGGTGTCCGCATATCACCTCTGCAGGGGATCTCCATTGAAGAAGTTTGCAAGCAAAGTGCATCCTACATTCTGGACAAGACTGGCTTCAAGGTCACAATCCGAGAGAAGAGACATGAGACTGTGAATGCCTTGATCAAGAAAGCTGCTGCGTGTGCGAAGAGGGCTCCCTTTCCCACAGATCATGTCTACTGTGTGCCAGGGAATTGTATTCCCCACGCTTTGGCCAGTTTGGGTGCCATTACGGAAGAGAAGGTGTCACTGTTGACAGAAGCATGCCCAGACAATGCATATATGCAACAGCGTGGATGTCGCACATATCTGCAATGTTCCAATATGTTCCACTGTTCCTTCTCGCCCGTCTTGTGCACTCAGTCTTTTGATTTTCGAGGAAACTTCCTCTTACATTCCGAAAATGGTGGCAGCCCACATTGCGTTGCTGTGAAGCAGGACGAGGAAGACAAGCTGATTGTTTTTGACACAGATGGTGTCTTCCACTTAGCAGTAGCTGACTTCGAGACAGCGTTGTTAGGTGGTGTGGATGCTGCCACGTGTGTTATTTTCAAACTTCAGGACGGCAAAAAGGATACAGATGTGGGTATGTCCGATTTTGAGAACCTCCTGGACTTAGCAGCAGGGAGTTCTGAATCAAATGAAGAATGCACTACAGACGATGCTCAGGACACAGCATTACTGCCAGAGGTGTCCGAAAAGAAGGGAAGCTTTGATTGGCTAGATGACACTGGACGTGTGATCACCGACCAGGTGTTGTTGAGTGATTTGCAAACGGAGGCGCAAAAGTTTATGGAAGCTGCCAAGGCTGGACAATTCCGAGCCGAACGCGGTGCTTTTCAATGCCCTGCGTGCCCCTTCCGGAAGTTCGACCGCTGCAAGCGTCTGGCTGTCCATCTTTCTCGGTATCATACAGCAAAGCGTCAGTTCTGTTGTTCCGGCACAAAGCAGATCAAAATCATTCTTGCTCTCCATGACTCAGACATGATTGCTGAAAAAGGCAAGGGAACTACCTGAAGCGAAGCGCCACGCTGCTAAGAAGATCTATCAAGCCAATGCTTTCGCCGCAGAACAACGCCGTCGACAAGGAAATTCGGTTTCTATTGGATGCTTCAGGTCCAAGGGTAGTGCATCGGCAAGCGCTTCGCAGCGCGCGTCGAGTTGGCAATATGTACTACACACATTCCTTCGCTGAGCGGATCTTCCAAGAAATGCTCTTGAACCATGCCAAGGCGCGGGGAGATGAAAAAGGTTCAATGGTCGCACAGCATGTGCTATGAAGGTGAAAAACCCTTGTAGTGACTGCTCTAAGCACCCCTCAGGTGTCTGCCTTGGTACCTCGTTTTTTGCTTGACTCAGCAAAAGCTGGCAACAGCCTGGCGTCAATGCTGCCCACCCACACTGCGTGTTGGTGGCCTGTGGTTGAGGACGTATTCGCGTCAGCAGCTTGCAAAAAACTCCGTCATCATCTCCTGGACCAAGCTGTTGCGCATGAGGAGTGCTCGTACCTGTCCATTGATGGAACATTCAAGGTATGCTTGCCATTGATGGGGCAGGGTCGGTTTTCAGACCCAAGAGCCTTACGCGACCAGCATCCTTTTCCGGCAAGTGACAGCTACACCCGTGTTCTCTCAGTGCGGGGAAGAAGCGGTGCAGTGCTTTGCCTGGAGCCATCTTGTGGAGAAGGCGCAGACCACATCAAAGCGTGTCTTCAAAAAAGCATTTCAGCGCCTGGACTTTTGCAAGTGAAACATATTGCAAGCGACAATCCTTCACCGAAGCTTTTTTCTGAGCTCAAATCGATCTGCGCAAACCTCAAGGCCTTGTCTTTAGACCCAACACATACGGCTATGCACTATGAGCAGGGGCTGGGAGGAAGAAAGTCTGCAGGTTCGAGCCTACTTCGGTCATTCATGGTGAAGTTCACCAACCACGACGAAGCAGTGACCCAAAACATTTGGGGACCATTCTTTGAAGGACAAGCTTGCGTGGCCCTATCTCGTGAGGAGCAAATGTTGCGACAACACATTCTGGACAGCTCCTTGGCAGTTGTCCGTTCCAAGCGGATACTGGCTTCTTGTGAAGAATTGAAGGTCTGGCCTACACGGATTCAGTTTGTGGAGGCACTGGCTGCACTTTCCTGTCTTCACAGAACCGACATGGGCCGGAAGATCGAAGGGACTAAAACTACGCTGGCGAAGCTCCTACACAATGTCACAAGTGCAGAGCAGCTGGAGTGGCTCTTCAACAACTTGAGGTACAGGCAATTCTTACCACATCGAGTTCGTCTGCTGCTGCCTTCAGGCACTACTGCCAACGAAGCACTCCATGCAGAAATCAACTCATGGTATCGACAGACTCAGCAGATGCACCGCAGCACATTGGTGCAAAAGCTGCAAATCCAGCAGCTGGGCAAACTATTGGCCCACAACATTGCTTTGCACAGCCCCACAGCAAAGCAGATGCCAAGCTCTCATGTCCTCTCACAGCGAGTTGGAAATCCTCTATGGTCAGCCAAAACCTGGCAGTCGGACATGGCGCAACAAGCTCAACCTTGCCATTGAAAGCTCGCAGAAAAACAGAGAAGGAGCTGGTGGCAGAAGCAGCTAAAAAGCGTCCAGCAGCAGCTCCAAGGCCGAAGGCGCGTGCGAAGCGCACGCCATTTACTTTGGAGCGCAAACCCGGTCTCCTAAGGAGCGGGGTGCGCAAAAGAAACTCGATGTGACAGGTGAAAAAGAATTGCGTAAACACTGCTTGCTGTGCTTGTGCAAACACAAACAACACTATCTTTGGACATTGGCACGCTGGATTAGACTTAACCCTTCTACACTCTGCGCGCTCAATACACAAGCAATTAGTATGTACTCTCAGCGATCAATATGTTGCTTTCTCCCGGCCCTACCTGCTTGCTTGCCTGGTATAGAGGGAACCTAATCTCTATGATTTGCTGGATAGTTTCTTGGCATCGCGCTCCGCATCTGGTTCTCCAGTTTCAAGTCCAGTTATGGAACTGGAGCAACAGCCTTGCTATTTAACGTCTGCGAAGTATTATTGTGCTCTTTTGCTGACAGGAAAAATGGGCGGGTGCTGGATGTTGCACTTAGAACCAAAGCAAATGTTGTCTTGAGAGCTCCCACGACTCATTGTACCTATTTTTCCATGCCTCGGGGGCCCCCCCCCCCCCCCC